ACATAGCCCTTCTCAGGTCGTCGACCCAGCAGTCGAGCTAACATTCCTCCCCGGAGGGCGAAGACTTGAGGTGCCAAGACAGGTCTCATCTTAATTGCAGGCGCGAGCCCCAGCAGCATGAGTGGAGTCGTTGGTTCCTTAGCAGAAGATCCCAGACGCTTAGTCCCGCTCTTAACGGAATATCAATGGGGATTATAGAGACGGGCAAAGATTGCAGGTAAACAAGAAGACGCGCCGCGGATCTTTTGTCGTTTCTGGAACCAACAGAAGGAGCAGGAATCGATCCTATTTGCGCGTACCTCGTACATAATTGCTTTGTTTCCTCGGGACGTGGTCCTCGAGACGGAGGTCGAAGAATCCTTCTCTCTCTCGCTCCTCGCCGTGGAATCCACAGAGAGCGGCCCCTTTCTACAGTTGCGTTGCATATCGCTACTGCAGCGTTCCGGGAGCGGGAAGTGACAGAAACGGAGGCCCTGAGCGTCCTTTCAGAGCCAAGAGGCATCCTCGAAGACGGGGTGCGAATGCGGCAGTCCGTGCTGCTGTGCAGCGCATTTCCGTCGCGTTCTCAGCTCAAGGCTTGCACCGAGCGGCGACAGTGACAGCTGTGAATTCCGAGAAGGGATCGAGGGCTTTTTCTCTCTGTCGGTGCTCGCGCATACGCAGATGGACTCTGCGGGCGTGCTTTGACCCCTTCAACACCTGTTGTCGCGATGGATGCATAGAGACCGAGGGCGTGATGCTTTCCACTCCCGCATTCTGGCGGCCGATCCTCCCGTCCATGCCGATTTTGATCAAAGCTTGCTCAAGAGGCTTTTTGACTTTCTGATCTGCCTTGGTAATAGGCATTGGAGGGTTCACCCCAGAAGCGAAGGGGGGAGCGAAATGTCAGCGTCATCTCTCCAACGTCAAGAGAAACGAAGGTCATGTCCAGTGCCAGCAGACACAAATGTCATCATTCGACCTGCCCCTATCCAACAAAGCGAGGCTTCTTCTGCTGGCTCGATTCATGCCCTGTGAGCCCTGGCTCGGGGGCTGCTGATTCAGGTCCCTCCCAATAATCCGAGAGGTAATCTTGGGCGGACTTGTAGCTTTCCCGCTAAAATGTCCAGCCTGAACGTAAACGGACAGTCGACAGTGGACTGGATGGAGATGGAGGCTTCGGGGCCAAGGGGGATTACCTAGACACGGCTCCGCAGGGCCCCAGCATCGGCCAATCGCATACTGGCAGGCCAATTTGCGCAGATGGCCCTTTTGCGATCCGTGGGCTGCTGCTACTGAACACAACTTGTCGCTCAGCAGGGCTGCCAGTAACACGGCAGATTAGGGGCCTCGAGTCTAGACATACAGGTGCGGCGGCGGCGTGCGGCGTCCTACTCGGGCTGCTTCTGCTGCGCGTTGGAGTAGCTAGGTATGCACATACTGTGCAAGGCAAGGCAGGGTCGCGACCAGTCAGAGAATCACCCGTTTTCTCTCTGCGCCTTCGGAGCCGTCCAATTTGATCGATCCCCTTGATGGTCGCCTCCCCTTTAGAGTAGCAGCCCCTTTCGCAGGCCTTCCTAGCATGCCCCTAGCTCGGGCAGACGGGGCCCCCCCCAGATACTGCCCCTACCCCCCAATTTCCATGCCAGGGCTCCCGCAGCAGGAGAACAGCTCCCAGCGCACGAACCACCTGCACCCAGGAAAAGCCCCCCCTAACAGAGCAAAAGCCCGCTGGCCACTGGCTCGTCCGCCGCTGGAGTGACCCCACCGCAGCCTCTAAGCCCTGCTTGGTCTTGGTGCTGGTGGTGCTTGCGCTGGTGGTTCCGCGCGCGAGACCTGGACCTCTGTTGGCTTTTGGTACGGCAGGAAGGTACACTAGAAAGTACCTTCCTCGGGGTTTCCATTCCCTCTTTCGCTCCTGCTCCTGCTCCTTCCTCCCCTTCGGCCTGCAGTTTCCCCCCCTACCGACCTGGCTCCTGCTGCTGCTGTTGCTACACAACCTTACCTTCCTTACCTTCCATTTACTTTTGCATTCTGCCTGCCTCGCCTTCCCTTTCTCGACGGATCCTTTTTTCGACGCTTCATCCGCCGCTTCAACCCTCACGTCTACGCCCACGACTGCGCCGAACGTCGATACCCTCCTTCTCATCCGTATCCGCTCCCGGTGTCATTGTTATTTGATTCGAGCACGACCTTCCGTAAGTTACATTTCGTTCGACTCGTTCGTTTGTCGAGGCCGCCGCGCCGCTATTAGGGGCGAACCATCTAGGCACTCGGGTGCTACGGCAAGAGGGAAATTGGGATGGGAGGAATCAGAAAAAGGAGATCGACAATACTCCCTTCGACTAGCTTGTCGCGATGAACTCGAGCGAGGCGAATTCGATTGACAAAGCCTCCGTCGACTTCTTCTTGATCCTTTCTCCCATCCCGCAATGCCCTCGGCCGCCGCGTCCTGAGCCCATCCAAAGCCGCCCCATCAACACCAGCTAACCGTGGACGATGCCTAGTTCTCAACGTAGTCGCGCGCCAGAACGCCGCGACTCTACCATCAAAACCTCACCCTCTTCGCCCTCCTCGGCACCCCGTTCCAAGATGCCTCAGTACACCTCGCGAGATGTCGGCGACCCTACGCAGATCAAGAAGAACAAGCAGTCGATGGCCGACCTCAAGCTGCGCCGGCTAACCGAGCTCAACAACCGTCTGCGCGAGGATCTTGAGCGAGAACGCATTCCCGTCAGCACGGCGTCCAAGAGGTGAGCAACTCGCATCCTTTACTTGTCCACTGGTGCTGATGCCATTTGACAGCATTATCGCCTACTGCAACGGCACCCGGGACTACATGGTCCCCTCGGTCTGGGGCGCTGTCCCCAAGGGCGAGGACCCTTACGCGCCACAACAATCCGGTGGCTGCTGTGTGGTCATGTAATAGTGCTTCCGTCACTCTTTTCTTATTCCCGGTTACCAAAAATCAGCAACCAAGCAACGCCGATGATGATTCAGCGATTGGACGGAGGAGGCCCCAGTCGATTTTGATATGTTCGTGACGCATTTAAGGGGGGCAAGTAAATTGAGGAGGTACCAAGTGGGGAGAGGACTCGGACGGCCAAGGAGGATAAGGCTCTGGATATCGAAGCACCTGCTACCGACATCACAACACAACGACACCCACGATCGTCACCCTTGGGATGCTGTCAGGAACGACAGGTCCCGTCAACGAAGCGCGAGATGGGAGGAGAAATGACCGGCGTGCAGGACCCAGTTGAATACAGCGACCCAGATCGAGATACCCCGAGATACCAGTGGAGCGGGTCACGAAACCGAGAGCCAGAGCAGGGGAGCTGGAGTTGACGGGAGGCGAGAACGATGTTGATGTTTAATTCGTCTCTTTGCGTCTTGTGGTTCTGCCTCGTCTGAGGGGAGACACGAGCAACGCAGAGAGGTAATCAAGAAAGGGGAGGGTTTGAACCACAATGGGTCTGGGTCTGGGGAGCGGTCACGGATCGGGCTCTTGCGCAAATGTAATAATTCCCTTTTTTTTATCATCCTCTTTTTGTTATCATCTCTATCCTTTCCATGTCGTGTACGTTTTCCCGCCAGCCAATATATTTTTTCTCATGACTTGATGGGCTTTAATATGAGTATACTACATCTTCTGTCTGAGCTTCCTTCGCGACAATCTCGTGTCATTCTGTTTTACGTGTCCTTGGAAAGGCCATTTCTTTATCAGAGTAATCACGCCGGCATCAAGAGCCTCCTCACTGTCTTTACCTCCCACCTCCAGTACCACCACCACCACCTTGTCCATCCCGCATTGTCTCTCGTCAAAGTCACGAGACCTGCATCTGCCCGTCCGTCCGTTCGCGGATCCGAACCCGCCGCGTTCAAAGGAAGGAAGCGGCCGTTCTCCACTTCTCTCACGCCATTCCAAATGCAGAACCTCCCGATTACTCAGCAGGGAAAAAAAAAAAGGCTAGACGCACCTACTGTACAGGGGCCGACCGCGGGGCTTTGCATCAGGGGTTTGGAGGGGTAGATGTTGAGTGGAATTACATTCCTGCTGCTGAGCCTTTTCTAACTTTTGAGAATTTGATTGTTTACTTTTTACTTTTGACCCTTTTTCGAATTGAATTTGAGGGTGTTTTATTTTTGGAAGAGCATTTCGGCAGAAATAGGGGAACCTTGTTGGTCAACTTGTTGCCCGAGTCAAGTCGAGCTTTGAGACACTCAACGCCTCAAAGGCAATCCTTCAAGAAGAGCCAAGACCAGGATCATCTCGACGAGATAGAAATAGGAAATAGGCAGTCATGGCTAGCCAAGTACCACAGTCGACGGCGCTTCCTCGCGTGGCGATCCAGTTCTGCACGCAGTGCAAGTGGAATCTCCGCGCAGCCTATGTAAGTCAACCCCCCCCCCCCCCCTCCTCTCACTTGAAGGACTTTGACTGATAGGTCCCAAGTACGCTCAAGAACTCTTGTCTACCTTCTCCGACGTCCTCGGCGAAGTTGCTCTCCAACCCTCTACCGGGGGCACATTTATCGTCTCTATAACACATCAGGCCCCAGAAGCCGAGACCGCTTCGACAAAGGTGCTCTGGGACCGGCGAGAGGATGGTGGCTTCCCCGAGACCAAGGAGCTCAAGAGGAGAGTGAGGGATGTTGTCGAACCTGGGAGGGACCTCGGCCATGTTGATGGGAAGCATGCAAAAAAGACTGAGGAGAACAAGGCGGCTCAACCTCAGCAAGCAGAGGAAAAGGCCGTGCAAGGAGAAGCGAGCCAGGGAGGAGACGAGAAATGTGAAGATTGTCAGTGAGCAAGTTTTCAAGTTTGGGAACTTCTTGAACAGCATTACCTGAAGGTTGAACAATATTCAACCTCGCTGATGTGAGGTTTCCGGCTCACTTGTCTAGCAAGAGTTCCGTCTACCATTCACACCACTATACACACCAAGGCCAAGACCCGGAGCGTCTTACCTCTCTACTACATGTCTCAAACGAATAGACTGACGCAGGGACTCTCAAGTTACCATCAAGGCTTGTCATGAAATAAACATTTGTTCTAACATCGTGTCCCCACACCTCTCCAAGCTCCATCATGCCTCCTTGAAAAAAATCCGGCAACGCTCTCTGCTCCGTCCTGCCCTTCCCCAGCCAAACACAAACTTATACATGGGTGTCGTCAAGCAACGAAAAGGAAATATGACCACTAGAGTTCGTCCGTGGAATGTGTCGTACGTAACCATCGATCGCTCCCAGTCAAGAACCGTTGTTCTCGTCATCACAAAAAAAGGTTGAGAAAAGTCAGTCTCCCGAACTGCATTCATCCACGGGCCGGCCTACGCGCGACAGACATATATGGCACCATGACGCCTGCCCTGTGGATTGTGCATGGGATCCGAGAACTGTGAGCAACTCAAAAAAAACAAGTTATGTCAATGTTTTATCTGTGAGCTAAGAAACAGCCGTTTGTCGTTATCAAGTTCGCATAGAGGCATTAGAGACGATTCGGGTTTCGCAAAAGTCAGCGCCGCGGACCGGCGCCTTTTCAGTTCCGACACCCTCCCAGTGACCCAACGTTCCCTGCCACGCTCAGTGGCAAGGCGAGCTGCGAGACGGCGGAGATTGGGGGTGCGCTTCGATCGAGACGGGTCTCGAGTCAAGTCGTTCGTTCTTCGTCGCGGTGGTCGGTCATCCACATCGTTCGAGGATGTCGTCGTCTAACGTCGGCCGAACCTAGTGAAAGCGAAAATTGTTGGCATAAATTCTTCAAGTCTTCATCTTGCGCGGGGAGTTTGCTGATTTGCTTGTGCTGCCAGCTCTGTTTGTAACATACTTTTGCTTCTTCTCGGCGGGTTTCAAGATCTGTCGGGGAAAATCGGGTCAGTATGGTCTTCAGTATGCGCCGTGGGACACCATCACATACTTGGAATGAACAGAGCAAGCTCTCGTCCACGCTCATCATAGCACCGGCGTTGTCGAATTCACCGCAGTAGTTGGGCGCACTGAACAGGGTGACCAGTTGACGCTTGGAGAAGAATTCGTAGCCGTCCTCGACAACCTGGTGGGCTCGGCAGATGAGATCCATGTCGTGTTTCTGGAGGAAGCGAGAAACGACATCAGGGCCGAATGTGAATGAGACACCACGATCGTTTTCGCTCCAACCAGTAATGTCCTTGTCAGGATCCGACCAGAGAAGATCGCACAGGAGACCGCAGTCAGGAATCTAGAACACATCAGCACAGCGCTCAGACGACGACGCCGCGCCACCGCCGTGGCACAGCGCAGCAAAAACTCACGTCAGTGGGACGCATCACACGGCGGATCTGCTCCATAGAGTTGAGATCGGGGCTCAGACCGCCGTGCATGGTGAAAATCTTCTCGTCGATGATAGCAGCGATGGGAAGGCAGTTGAAGCAATCGGTAAAGGTCTTCCAGAGCTTAATGTTATAGCGACGCTTGCACTCGTCGTAGAAGCCATAGATACGGTTGATGGAAGCACACTCGTGGTTACCTCGCAGAATGAAGAAGTTCTCGGGGTACTTGATCTTGTAGGCGAGGAGCAAGCAGATGGTCTCGAGGGACTGCTTACCTCGGTCGACATAGTCACCGAGGAAGAGGTAGTTGGCCTCGGGAGGGAAGCCACCGTACTCGAAGAGTCGGAGGAGATCGTAGTACTGTCCGTGGATATCACCGCAGATCTGGACGAGGCGGAAGCCGGTGAGTCAGCATGACAATTTCCCGGCATCGCTCAAGACCTGAGCACCAAAGGCCAATTCCAAGCACCATGTCTCGAACTTTTGAGGCCGGAATGCGCGGTCAGATGACATACCTTGATAGGGGCCTCGAGCTCGAGGAGGATGGGCTGGGAGATGAAGATCTCGCGGGCCTTGGTGCAGAGATAACGGATCTCGGCCTCGAGGAGCTGGACCTGCTTGCCTGGGCGGCTGCCTCGCACCTCGAGTAGCCTGTCGATTATAGAATCGAGATCAACCTCATGTTGGTCTGCCATTTCAGAGGGATGTGCTTGCGAGAGCGGCTCGCAGAAAGTATAGAGGGAGGGAGGTCGTGGGGGGAACGGCGGGGAGAGCTAAGCGGCAAGCAAGATCTCTAATCAGGTCGGCTGCGGGGTGAAAGTCGTCGAGTGAAATATGATGCCAAATGGATGCACTTTCGCAAAAACCTGGCCCAGTCAGCCGGTGAACCGTGGCAACAAGACTCAAAGACAAGAGAGAAGACGAGAAAACAACGCCTCGGACTCGCTAACGCCGCAACCGAGAGGGCGGGGGTCGAGTAAAAAACGTTGACAATGCGAGCGAGGGAGAAGATGAGGCGCGTTGCGACGGTGGGAATAGGTAGCGAGCGAGGGGGGGCATTAGAAAATTTGGAGGGGGAGAAGCCGGAGGAGGAGCATGGAGGCGGGCGTGGTAGTGCGTGCGTGCATTTGGTGCTGTGCTGTGCGGTGCGGGAGAGGAGGGGAGGGGGGGCAAAGGCAAGAGGGGACTTCCATCAATGACTGGACTGGGCTTGGACTTGGGCTGGATGGAGGAGAGGGAGAGGCGGCGCGGCGACCGACCATCGGGGGAACACAAAAACTCACCCGTGAAGGGATCACGTCTCTCTGGAAGGGTCGGACTTTCTTTGACAGAAAGCGGACAAGACGGTGAGAGCGACAGGGACAGAGTAGACAATGTCGTTCGTCGAGAGCAGTAACCGTGTATTTACCAACGGGATCAGATCAAGTTGAGAGAGAAAAAATCGTCGTCGTGGTTGCCGCAGTGGGCCACCGACTTTGGTTGTTGATAGCTGTACCAGAAAGAGACGGGCAGGTACAGGGCGTCAGAAATGGGGGGGCGAGCCAGTAGGGGGGGTGAAGACCACCGTCAGCCAGCAGCAAAGTGGGCAGCGAGTTTCTTGTTTTCTTTCGCGGGGAGAGGAAAAAAGAGAAGTTGGCGTCTATATGTGACGCTTCGTCGCCGATATTAAAAAAGGAAGATCAAGTAGAGGCTGTCAAAGGAGAGCCACGATCGTCGTTTGGGGGAGAGGGGAGGGTATGCTCGTTCGTCTTTTTCTGCAACCCGTTGTTGTTGGGGCAGGCCGGTCGGGCGCGCGCGATCAGGGAAGGGAAATTTGGAGAGTCGGGTTCAGGTTTCTAGGGACGGACACGGTGGTTCGTCTGTCGTCGTCTCGTCTCTTTTGTCAAAAAAGAGAAAAAGCCGTCGTCGCGGATGGTCGAGATATCGATATGATATGCGTCGCAGTGCGTGTTGGCGATGGGCAAACACGTAAGTCTTCGTCTCGTTCGTTTTCGTCGGTTGAGTTGAAGGGTTGAAGGTTTTTGGAAGGGGGGTTTTTTTTTTCTCGCTCTCCTTGGTCAAAGCAAAGGGGACGCACGGCACCTGCCTGTCCTACCTCTAGCCTCTGGGTACCTGTAGGCGCTAAGAGAGGTGCCTGTAAAAGCCTGGAATGGGACTGCGGGCTGGCACTCTGGGGATGCGGCTACAGGGATGCCGGCGCTGTCGGGTTCGCTGAGCTGTACCTAGCGCCAGGTGCTGATGATGGGCTGCCGCTATAATTGCTTTCTCGTTACAAGTCCGTATCTGGTTGTAAATGGTCCAAGCTGGTCGCTTTTCCAAGGTTCTTGAGAGCTTGGCTTTGGATGCCAGGCAGAGAAAGGGATCTACCCTGCCATGGATGGATGGCACAATCGTATGTATCGTCCAAGACTGGAACGCAGCCTGAGCCGGGGGCTTCGGGGCCTTCCGACGACCTCCCTCTGCATGCCCGTCGTCGTACAGCTACCGACCGACCGACTGACCCCTCTCTGGAGCTTCTACCTACATAGGTATGTTGCTCCCGTTACTACGGAGTACTCCTTGGCACAAGCCAGCGTCTCATCTCGTCCTCCATCTCCGAGTCTCATCTGCTTGCTGCCCGTTGGGTGCCCATGGATACGATACACTCACACTCACACTCACACTCACCCAGGCTTAGCTCTACGTAACCCAGGTCCAAGTAGTAATAGTCGAATCTCGGCAGTGCCAACCTTACCCATCTGACACCTTGCCCAGTCCAGGGGCAGAAATCATCAATCGAGGGCGACGAGTCTCAACTCTCGAACCTCCTGCGTAGCTTTAGCGACCGGATTCGTCGGCGCTTAATAGAGCTCGCTCTGCTCAGCCTCTCTTAGGTACCTTGTCCCGCTCTCCACCGTGCCGTACCGTACCGTGCCATAAGTACCCAGTTAGTTCGTTCCGCGGGATGTGCAAAGACGCGTTCTCTTGCGACCGAGCAGACACGATACGAGGAGCGAGAGCATGTCGCGTGCGTCGTTGAGTTCAAAGGAGCTGATTCGGCGTCAGGGGAGGGGGAGACCTTGCTGCTTATCACAGCCATGTATCATCTTCACTGCTTGACTCGAAACTCGTGCATTGGACGGGCAAAAACTACCTATGCTAGACTAGCACTGGCTTCCCCCCCTCAATAGATTCCCATTGAACAAAACCCTCTCATCTATCTTTTCAAAATAGTCGTTACCCTCAACCCCTTTCTCTCCAAACTGCTTGCCACGCAACCCAAGACGACGCATCACTTTGCATCGGTCCCCCTCATCGGGACCCCCTTTATTCCCACTTGCTGATCTCTCCTTTTCCCGGCCCAGAGCTCAAGCTTGTGTCTGTCCACTTGTCGAAACACCACAGAGCATGAGCGACGAATAAAGCCAGGGGCCACACGGCTGCCCGACTTATGTTTGGGCTGCCTCTTTTAGATATACACTGGCTAACTCTGCAGAAAGCTCCAACTCAAATATTTCTTCATTGAAACGTTGATGCAGCACATGTCCCTGGTTCCTCTTCCAGCCAAAATCCTACGTCAGCTCTGTCAGTTATAACTACCTACCTAGGCATACCATCTGACCAGCGCAACTACGGATCTCAGCCGTCCCTAGCCGTCTAGCCGCCAGCCGAGTTTCAACCCTCCTTATCATACGCGTCAAACCGTGACTGTGACTCTCCTTGAAGCTTATGTAGACACCTTCCCCTCGTCCGGGTTCTTACTCATGTAGCCAGACCCTCTCACCGAAGTTGCCCTGCACATGCAATCCCCAAAGTTCGTTGCCTTTCAAAGGCAACTCTCCCCCTCATTGCGTCAGAACGGGCATTCTAGGCCCCGCTGGACGCGCAGCCGGTGTATGCGCCACGGGAAGCTGGAACGAACGAGTGTGGCACCTCGTCATGTCGAGAGATGTCATCATGCATCTCCCATCTCGATATTGGTCACGTGACTCACATCGTTCTTCAACGACTCTGTAGTTCTGCGCAGATCGACAGGCTAAATTGAAACGACTTGATGCGGAGAGGAACGCTTCTTGACATGATGAACATGATATGCATCATATCATTGGTTTCCATCGATCGTGATCGAGATATTGTTCCGAAAACTCACCGCTAGGACTCAACATTACGTACATCTCAACCTCTCAACATGCTCTCAAGCAAGGCATCGAAAACACACAAACATGCCATTCAAGCTGATCAACTGCCATGGTATCTGAATCAAACGCTCTCATAGAAGTTGTACATTTGTATCGTACTCTTATCCCTCCCTCGTTCCGTAACCGCCATCCATCCATCCATCCATCGCTGGACCCTTCCAACACCATCTTCCCTACCCGCAAACGCCCTTGGTTCCCCAAAGATTAGAACTAGCCCTATAATTATCCCTCATCTTGCCTCAAAACGCCAAGCTCAGCAGTGGTGCAAGTGTGTTTGGCCATATGGCCCCCTAAAACGTGAAAAGAGAAATGAAAACGCAAGCACAAAGGTCCCCTTAGTGATACAGCACCCTGCTCCAACCCATCCAGCATGAACCTCATCTTCGCCTAGTTGATGTCCTCCGCTTCTTCGCCTTGCTTGCCCTCGTCTTACCGCCGACAGATTCGGTTTCTTCGGCTTCATCAGCCTCCACAACAACAGATGTGGCTGCTTGGTCAACAACCATTCCCAGGCCCTTAAGCTCCTCGTCATCCATGTCTGTGAGGTCTTCGCTGAGCATTCTGACAGCGTCCCTGCCCGCCCAATGCTCTCCAAGAACAGAGGTTCCCTGAGGCTCGTATCCCTTCAGGTACCAGAGCACTCCTCCTTCGGTGAGAGGATCGAGTGGTTCTAAGCCAAGACTCCCGTTAGACTGTGGTGGCGTTGGAGGTCCTGATTGAGCTGGCCGGGGCTTTGACACATATCCGTCAGTGTCTGGGGGCGTGTCTGATGACTTGACAGCATTCGCAAGGCCATTTCGTTTCTCCTCTTCGTCCACCATGTCGAGACCTGAAGTGTCGACGTCGATATTAGTACTGACCTCGATGTTTCCGCCCTCTGTTTCGCCATCTGGCATCGTGTCCATTACATCCCCCTCCGACGGGTCAGCCTTGACTGTAATTTGAAGCTCGGCATCCACCATGATAGTATCATTAGCCTCATCGGTTGGCTTCCCTTGGCTCGCTGTGGTTGACGGCCGACCCGCTTCTATGCTTTGGTCTACCATGCTCTCCAGCTCGTTCTGCAAGCCTTCGAATGGTTTCTGCGAAATCTCTGATTCAACTCGCAGAGCAGCCTCCAAGGAGGGCTGCACCGCCTTAAGGATTCGCTTGCCCAGCTTGCGCCGTTCCCGTATATCCGCAAAGGTGTTCTTGACAGGCAAAGCGTCGAGATGCTCAGATCGTGAGTCTTCCGTCGGCGATCCGCTGTCAGGGGCCGTAGCAATGCCATTTCGTATTACCTCGCATAGGTCAGTGGCAAACGACATGACCGTTACGTAGAAGCGCGTTTCTATGCGGGTTTGCAGCTTCTTTAACCCCTCGATGAACAGGTCCTTATCCAATCTGCAAAAGTTAGCAATCAATCATGGAACCAAACAACGCCAGGGGTACATACGATATTGCTCTCTCGATAGTAGGGTTGAGGAGCTTTGCAACTGGGAAGTAGCACTCATCCACAAAATCTTGCTCTAGTTCAC